GTATGTCTCCAATACTGGCTGTATCCCTGAACACACAGAAATCTACCTAGCTCTTCTAACCACCACGCTCTTGCTATGGCTCTAATAGCTCTGACCCCAGGGCAACTTTATTTATTAACATAAAATTAAAATCACATTTCAGTACAAATAAAATATCACCATACCCACCAATTTCTTGAAAAATTTTGCTATCTTTTTGGAGGCATTATATCAAAACTACGATTATTAAAAACACTATGTCAAATTGAAATCCTCAAATGCAGTCTTTAATGTACCAGATGACTATTCATAATAGTGATGCCTAAATTTTATAAACAGTCTTTTTAACATTATGTGAACCAAGAAGCTTCTAAAGCTTCTGACTAAAAATGGACCCATAAACAGTAAGCATATTCCAAATTATGGTAATGCAAATCTACAGCAGAGTATACCAACATGCTCATGATGGGCTTTGATTATTCTGTGGCTTTTCTTGATTTTTTTTTTCTTCACAATAGTGGCTTACCCAAATCTGAATGATGGTTATGGTTTTCCATTTACATTTTTGTTTGTGTTTTAACAATAGATGGGTGATCTTTCAGTTGTATTCCACATGGTCAAATATTGTAATAAACAATTTTGTTGAAACATATCATTGTGTAATGTCAACTATTTCTAAGCAAACAGTGTAATTCAACCAACTACTGACTTTATGCGTAGCCTTGATACAAAAGTGTTGTCAGTGACCATTGACATGATAAGAACTCATACCTCTTCTGTTTAGTGCTCGGCTGAGTCCTATTTCTCTTGATGCTTTCACACCTCTGATGCTACCCGAGTTATTCAAAGGTCCAAACTCTTTGGAAGCCCTTCACAAACAGACAATTTAATGAAAACAATTAGTTCTAAAAGAAAATTGGAAGTGCAGTTTCAGAATTGATAAACAAAGAACATCATCAGCTATTTGAATTGAATATTGTGTTGTTGTTGCATTGGAATCAAGAGTAGGACTGATCTATATTCATTAAGTTATGGGTGTGAAAGTGAGGGTGGGATGATAACCACTTATTGTGTTTGGGGGATGAACATGAGGGATGGAGATGACTTGCATTTATGGTGTTATGATGCTAGAAATAGGGGGTGAAATGATTTTTTTTTACTTAAAACCTCACTTTAACATGCAACCACTCAATAAGACTATTTCATTGTAGGAGCTTAAAAGCAGAAGGGATTCCTTTGACACATACTTAAATAAATGAATAGGAAACATAAAAGCACACTACTGAGCTGGGGATAGAGCTCAGTAGTAGTACTTAACTAGAAGGCATGAGATCTTGGATGTTCCTATCAGTGAAAAACAACAAACAGCTGAAGAAACTGAATGTCAAGGAGAAAGGAGAAGAAGGAGGAAAGAACAAAAGATGCAGGTAGCAAGGTCATAACAAAACTATTGGGTGCTGGAAAGGTGAGAGAACTAAATAGGTTGGATGTGTCACCATGGGAATTTTAAACTTGTGGTAAATTCATATAAGTATCAATAGGATTAGCCACTACATACTCACAAAATACAAAACTCGTAAATGACATTCACTGTGGGAAACAATGAAGTATGAGAAAAATGCTAGTATTCCATTTACACTTGTGCTTGCATGTTTATAAGCACATCTGCACATAAGTAATAAGGGATAATGAACTTGAAATTAGATTACAACATGTGCAATATTTATCAATGAAGAAAGGCGTGTGAGTAAATAGCGAACTATGTAAAGAGCTTTCAAAATAATGCCAGAGACATATAAACAGATTTTAAAATATTTAACAATTTATTAAAATAGTAATTTTAGTATATCTTAGTTATTACACATATCTAATTAAACTAAAAAATGTATCAGAAGAAACTGCACAAAGAACATAGCAGTGATGTTTTTCTGCTCCTTGTTATTATCTTCTCTGTATCTTTCTAGTTTTCTAATAGTGTTATTACTTTTATAGTAGAGGAAATTATAGGACTAAACTGTCAAATGAAAGTGTATATGAGTAGCACGACTGTAGAATTTAAACATATGTATGTTTTACTTCTGACAGGTGTTTTATTTGTCTGAGGTGATTCCACTAATCCATTTATTTTGTTCACCTTCTTAATGTATTTGTGAGCCAAAGAATAATTTATCTTTGACCTTAGAGCCTCCAAGCTGTTTGTTGATTTACTCATCTTCTAAGGGAATTGGGGTGTGTGATAAATTGAAGGATTGTTTCACTTCCAGGGTTTTCTTGCTAAAATGAGTCTGTGCTGCGATTTATACTTTAATTTCATAGGCGGTTTGTTTTCTAAAGTATGTATTTACAAATTCTCTTAATGCCTCACAATAGGTGTTTTTGCAGGCTATCTATGAATGCCTATGACTACATTCAGACTCAACATAAATATTACAGATGTATACCAGTTTAATACCAACAGGAAAGGAAATCTTTTTGAATAGGCACTTGATGTATGCATTAGTGTGTCTGCATATCTGTGTTTATGTACGTGACATATTCATTGCTTGATGAATGCTCTATTGAAGCTTATTCTTCCATCTCTTTCTTTCAGCTATTATAAAGACTGCCCTTCCAAACATGGACCGAGAAGCCAAGGAAGAGTACCTGGTCGTAATCCAAGCCAAAGATATGGGAGGACACTCTGGAGGTCTGTCTGGAACCACAACACTTACAGTGACCCTTACTGATGTTAATGACAATCCTCCAAAATTTGCACAGAGTAAGTGATTTCCTGAACTACCTTCAAATCATACACATTTTTAAGCAAATTTTCCTCAGCATTACAAAACCTGATAACAGCTATAGACTGCTCACTAGCAGGGCATGCCAAGATGACACACATTTACCTCCATTTTCATAAATTTAAAGACATTGAAAAAACCTCAAATATCATGAGCATGGTAGATAATAGAATCAGAAAGAATTTGAGTTAATGATGAAAAATTCATCCCTAATATTGATCCATTATTAATCCCATTGCTGTAATAAATAACTAAAATCTGTAATAGGGAACAAACTATACATTAAAACTGCTTCCAAACAGACATTCTCTTTCCTGCCACCAGGTGCGATATCAGTAACCATTGACTCCATCCTGCTGAGGATCTGCTGAGCTTTAGCAACCTCACCAGAATTCCAGGCAGCCAATGTCAGTGGTCCAGCGAGAGGATCATAATTTACATACATCTTCATCCTTTCATAAAACACTTCTTATAAGGATGCATCCAAGAAATATGATATGAAGTAATATTTCAACAAAGTCTTACAGACATGACAAGAGGACTCTTGAATCAAGAAATAAAGCATGCATATAATTACATGGAATAGGATGAAATCAGTAAGCCAAAGGAGAGAAAAATAGACATCAGTGCTAAAAACCTATGGTGTGATTGTGTAGATACAGTAAATTTTTGTTGCCCTTAAATACATACAATATAAAAATGATAAAATATTTTTCTGCCATTGAAACCCAGGAGACTGGGGAGTTAAGTTTGCTGAAAGGTACTAAAAATGAGGCTACAGACAAATGAGTTGGGACTGAATTAGTACACCATGTTAAGAACCATGATGTTTAGTGTAAGATCATTATGAAGTCATTAAAATATCTTAATTTGTTGGTGAACTGATTGACTCTGTTAAAGGGAAATGAGAGAGAGAGAGAGAGAGAGAGAGAGAGAGAGAGAGAGAGAGAGAGAGAGAAATAAGGATCTGTGTCTTTATCACATTACAGTCCATCAAGAAAAAGTTTACAGACTTTTACTTCAAAGGTGTTAGGAGCCATGGTATGCAAAGATGGTAGAGATGTAAGTAGAATAAAGCATAGGACCTGTAGGTTCTTCAGTGTTGATTATGTAAGCCTAAGGATTGATCACCTTATGATTTTTAAGAAGATAACTTATCATATTACTGATATCAGTAGCTAAGTATCTGATAGAGCTTTCTGCTGACTTAGGAAACATCAATTGAAAACTCTTTTATGAAAAGAAAGAGAAACTAGGAAATGAGAGGAGAGAGTAAAGGAGATGGGTGGGGCTTTAAAATGAAATATTTGATGAGTAATTGAGAATTCATTCATAAAAGTCCTAAGGCAGTAAGTGTAGAGATACAATTTCATATAGAATTATACAACTTTTATTTCTGCCCCTCTGTGAATTATGACCCTTTTAAGAAAAATTATTGGAATAATTCATCCTATCATATTTTGCTTTCTGATACTTTGTAGTTCACTCAGTCATAGGCAGCTCATCTTTTACAGAAAGATGATTATTTCAATTCAACAGTGATAGGTGAGTTTCTAATGTATTTCCTTATGTGGAGGCAATAATTATTAACTATGATTACCCTGATGGAGATAACAAGAATACACAGGCAAATATGTGTTACACTTGTTTATGATGCATTTGTTTAATGATGTAAGGATGTGTGTTTAATTATGTAATGATGTGTTGTATCTGTTTCACCTTGCCTGCATAAGGCACCTTATAGTTCTAAGAAAGAGCTGAATGGAATGGCCAATAGCTAGGCAGGAGAGTGAATAAAAAGGAGAAATGGAACAATGAGGGAAGGAGGAGGAGACAACTAGGTAGATGCCCGGGGCAAAAGCCAGGCAGACACTGGCCAGCCAGATGTACAGAAGCAGGGAAAGTAAGATATACAGAGGTAAGAAGTAATAAGCCCTGAAGCAAAGGTAGATGAAACAGGTTGATTTAAGTTAAAAGAGCTAGCCAGAAACATGCCTAAGCTGAGGTAGGGCATTTGTAACAAACAAAACAAAACAAAACAAAACAAAACAAAACAAAACAAAACAAAAAATAGTCTCTATGTCATGATTTGGGAACTGGTTGGTGGCCCTAAAGAAGAATCCTGATATACAGAATGGCAGTGGATAAAGGAATGTTCCATTTGCTTAGCTTTTCAGAGATTCCTGGTATAGGATTGGCAGTAAGGTGAAGTTCACTCACTGGCTATTTACTAATAAGCATACCAGAGGGATAATCTCCAAATTCACATGGAATACAAACCTTGAGAGAATTGGGCAGCATGTGTTAGATATAATGATTTTCTTTGCTCACCTTATGGTAAAACCACTTGCAAAATGGCTTTATTCTTCAGTCCCATAACATTACAATCCAAGGGAGTTTTACTTCATCATTAAGGAAAGGAGCTTAAGGAACTTTAATTAACTAATCAAATTAACTAGTCTTCAGTTCTATTGGATAATACAAACCATGGTTATTCAGGGTTTCAGCATTTGAGTTTAAACTGTAGTTAGGTAACGTTCTACAGATTTAACTCGTCCTTTGGGCTTGTTGCTCATTGACCAGTTGTTTTTTCCTTGTTATGATTGCAATAGAACTCAGTCTTCCTGAGGTTGGGTTTGCATGAAACAGGCTCTGAGACAAGGACCTGACAATAAGTAATTTAACTTCCCCAAGGAGCACCAGTGGGGAAGTGAGAACAGGCAGGTTAGAAAGCCAGCTGTGTGTGTGTCCCAAACACTCACCACTGTGGATTAGTGCACCTTTATCCTGCTGAGAAAAGTTTGAACTGATGGAAACATTTTAAACAAAATTGGCAATAACTCAAAGGTATCCCTTCAGAGAAGGGTAGAGTCTAGTATTTCATAAACTAACTCCTGTGAGTCTTTGATAGCTGCTTCTGTGGGAAGAATCAATGCTGGAGCAGTTCTTCCAGCCTGACACGCAATGGATGAAATGGAATCTGAAGGCAAGATAGAGCCCCGAGGCAAAGAAATACAAGAAGGAATAGACAGATGTAGGGCAGGTGAGCAGTAATGTGTTAATGGCCAGAGAGAGTGGTCAAGTACCACCAGCTTCCACTATACCATTGAACATGACTGCAAACAACATCTCAACAAAGAAACGGGAATAAAAATAGGACAAAGGCTACTGATTCGATGTGCTTTACTGTCCCCATAGTAGAATGAAAACACACTGTAATTGTATTTTTACCCAGGGAGTTTTGAAGGTAGGATTTTAGTCTTTAGAGCAATGAAGAATTTAGTGACAAGAGGGGTATTTCATGTATCTGGACAGCTTGCTGCAGGCCATGGCAGAAGTTTTATAATTGGATTTTATCAAAAAATAGTCTACAAGTTAGTAAATAGAAAAGTAAGTTCAAAAGTGACTTTCGATGTGTGACACATTGCAGCTCTCTATGGTGAAATAAGCTTAATATTTTACGTGGGGCAACAATGAATATTCCCACAGTCAGGCAATGTAATTATATAGCCAATTGGAAAGGAAATTCACATAGACTCACTAATATTCTGATGTGGTTACTACAAATAAATACTTGGTAAATTTATGGTTGAATCAGTACATTTTCTGTCTCTGAAGAGTGTTGAAGAGGGTTCACTCCTTCTTAGAAATACTTATTTCACACTTGTTTCAATGACTGTGCTTTCCATAGAATAGATATACCGCTGTCTTGGTAGGATCCCTAGGCATATCCTGAAGGTAGGAAATGTCCAATCAATTGTGCTAAATGAATCAGTCAGTGAGTGGATAGTGTTTATGTACTACCCAGTGTTTCTCCTCTTTGTAAAGGTTTGTATCACTTCTCAGTACCAGAGGATGTGGTTCTCGGCACTGCAATAGGAAGAGTTAAAGCTAATGATCAGGATATTGGTGAAAATGCACAGTCATCCTATGATATCATTGATGGAGATGGAACGGCACTATTTGAAATCACTTCTGACGCCCAGGCACAGGATGGTGTTATAAGACTGAGAAAGGTAAGCTGAGGAATATTTTCTTCAGTTTTTAAATATCTCCTAGAAACTTGGCTTGAAATCTCTGAGAGCTGAGTAGACAGGCAGAACCCAGATCTGGTAGTTACTTTGTGGTGGTATTGTGTTCCCCAAAATATTGTGTACCTTAATAAACTTATCTGGGGTCGGAGAACAGAAAAGCCACTAGTTAGGCAGTGATAGCACACGCCTTTAATCCTAGCATTCCAGAGGCAGAAATCCATCTGGGATCTCTGTGAGTTCAAGGCCACATTGGAAACAGCCAGGCATGGTGACTCACACCTTTAATCCCAGGAAGCAAGCCTTTAATCCTAGGGAGTGATAGTAGAAAGCAGAAAGGTATATAAGGCTAGAGGACCAGAAACTAGAGGCATTTGGCTGGTTAAGCATGTGGCTGGTTAAGCTTCAGGCTTTCGAGCAGCACAGTTCAGCTGAGATTCATTCTGGATGAGGACACAGAAGCTTCCAGTCTGAGGAAACAAGACCAGCTAAGGATCTGGCCAGGTGAGGTTAGCTGTGGCTTGTTCTGTCTCTCTGATCTACCAGCATTGACCCCAATAACTGGCCTCGGGTTTAATTTTATTAATAAGAACTTTTAAGATTCCTGCTACATTACTTAGATTTAACTTCGAAGGTGAGATGAGAAAGTATGCATAACAGCACTATTGGGCATCACCAGTCTCTTGGGACCACATTACATTTTAGATGTCCCTCTGGTAAACAGTTACCAGGATGTAGCTAGCTTCCTATTACTTCTCTCCACATTTATGATTCAGTGATTTTTCTCTAAGGCAAAGAAGTCACTCAGTCTTTATACAGGGCACTGAAGCCAAGTAACCTTCAACCAGTTGAGAGCAAAATGGATGGACAGTTATTACTGACTGGTGAAACTACTCCAGGATACAATTACGTACAGTTCTAATGGATTCTCAGTGGGACCACATCTCAATTGTGCCCCAGAAGCAACTAGTTCAATAATTTCTAGGCTTTCCCGATGTAACTCTCCTATTTCTGCTCCCCTGTTTCTTGAAAAGTCCCTCCCAAATGCGTTGATGTTTCCCCAAGTCCTTATTGAAAACTCTGCTTACAAAGGAACTGAGAGACAAGCACGATGGATGCCCAGAATCAGGCATCCTATGGAGTTCTGAGGCTCAGGAAGGAGACCAACTCTCCTACCATGGTTATTTTAAACCATGTGTCAAAAGTCCAAGCTTTATTCAAAATAAGTCTCATGATTTCTTTGTTCTAGAGGTGAGGCCATTAGAACCAGAAGATAAATTTCTGAAAAAAAAAAATAAGAAATGAAGATTTGAAACATTTTGGCCAGTGAACTGTGTTTTATTCTTCTTTTCACTTTTTTTTTTGGTGTTAGATATGAACGATTATGTATGTTTTTCAATTTGTGTTCTTCATTGTGAACTCTTCCATCATAAAAAGCATGCAACAATGAGCTCATGTTGTATCACTAAGTTTTACCTGTGTAAAAAACGGTCTATCGTTATGGATGACATGGTACTTTCTTCAATATTATTCTTGGCAACTTTGTTGCACATGATATTTTAAACAGTTTTTTTTAAATTTATGAATAAGAAAATACATGATGGGGCACGCTGTTGGGAATCATTAATTTTTTTCTCTGCTGTCCTTAAACATTAATGTGCACAACATTAAGCCTGCTATGCAATTCTTTTTGGGGGAGTTTGTTTTTTCATTATTATAAAATTTTCTATTCATTTTACATGCCAACCACAAATCCCCCTCTCCTCCCCCTCCTGTCCCCCAATATGCAATTCTATCATGTGACATAAAGACAATGTTCTACTTCAGATATATTTCATTGTAAAGTGTGCTTGTTTATCATGAGTAAGAGCATTGTATTCTATCTCTGGGACCTCAAAAATATATATGAAATGGATGGTTGTGCTCTTAAAATTCTTATTGAAGAGAATCATAAACTGAAACCTGGAATATTCTGGATATATTTTTGTTTAAAACTTATTACAATCAATGTTGAGGACAAATGGCTATATTTATTTTAATTCGTGAGTGAGCAACACTATTCTTATGCTGAGATCCAAGTTCAGAGCTTTGAACTAATAGTTGAAAAATATTTAAAAGCTTGTATTTCTAACAGAGTGCTGTATAATTATATTTAAGTCAATTACTGAATAACTCAGAACCACATTTTCCTCGCTTAAAAAAATCCTACTTCCATTTTTATTATTTTTATTAACTGGTATCCTTTGTTCCTGTCAGGTCCTTTTATAAACTGAAACAATGAGCCATTCATTGTGATTCTGTCCACTAATATTTACAAACTTGGAGGCATATGCTATGTACTTTGTGACAAGAAAACCAAAAGGCGATTTTAGAGGAAAGTGTATGAGGGGTCAAATTTCTATAGGCTCATGTGCCACTGTTATTTTTTAATTGATAAAGTCCTAAGGACATGAGAGTGTTTTTGGACACTTTATAGTTAAGGTAAGCTGAAAATTACAGACAGAAAGAAAAAAAAAGCAGAATCATCTTGGAGAACTGCCTGGTTTTGGTTTTTAGTGAAGAAAAAAATCGAGTGAGGTACAGGGAACCTATTTACCTATTTAGTCAGACTGTTCCTTGAATGTCTTCTATGAAAAAGTCTAGAAACTATGTGGAGAATGCCTAGAGTTATCTAAGACTGTAGGCTGTGAAAGGATGAAGTGAAGAGAAAGGAAAGCTGTTGATCCAAGGATCCAAAACTACAAAACTAGGCAATATTTAGTGGTATTTTGTGCAGTGTGATGGCCACAGCATTTCTAGCAGAATAGAGTCTTAATATCCACCCAAACTGATAAAATAGTCTGATGATGGATACATCAATTGACTTGATCAAGTCCTTGCTTTGTGTATTTGTGTATTATTGTACTTTAAAATATACGCAATTACTACTTGTCAATTAATAATACTATTAAAACAGAGCACATTTTTAACTGATTTTGTAAAGTGCATGGAATGGCAAGACAGTGTGGGTGATTTGCAGGTTTTGAATATTCTCATACCATCCTAAATCATCTCTTCCAAACTATACACAGACACATTGTAATTTCAGAATCAACAAGGAAGTATATTTGCACTGTTTACCTGAAAATATCAGGGAGGAGAACTAAGTACAATCACATCTGAATTCAAATATAAAAATCAACTTGGATGTTTGAAATAAGAATATATATTTAATCTTGCACAAGTGCTCTGTAAGACTTCACTGATGATAGTTTTTGTTCCAGTTTTCTATTTTCTAAAAATTTGCATTGCAGATTTAAAGTTCTGTTTCTTCTGAGAAATTGCAATACATATATAAACTATCTTCTTGAATCTTGTCAGACTTGCCTTCTTAAAATCTGGAGTATTATAAGTTGCCAAGAATTTGCCTAGATGAGTTCTGCTACAGATCAGCTCTAATGTATGTAAGGGAATGTATTCTCTTACATCACTCGGTTTATACCCATCACTGACAAAGTCTTCTGGACTGTTAAGGAATGAGGACTCTTTCGGGAATATCATCAATGATAGAGCAATGATGTAATTTCAGTTTTTAAGTAGTAAGTGTGAGGCAAAGTCAGACCTAGTTGTGTCAGTTTATCTGGCTTCACACTTCGTTTTTCTAAATATGAACCAAAATAGCTCTGTTTATGAAATCATATCTCTTTATATGTTTACCTGATCCATAGCACAGTACTTTTGACAGAGACCTCATAATGTCCCAAAAAGCAATAAGCCCCATTTCAGCCACATAATCAGTAAGAGTAGAAATGTTTTAAAAATGATATGAAATACTCTTTGTTAGGATTAGTGCTAAATCATGCTTTGTAACGTCTCCTTAGACTAAACAATGATCATTTCTAGTCTTTCCATTTCACACACTGTTGCAGAAATGATAAAATATTGTTCCCAGATAGAGACTGTATTCAATACTGCCTTATCTGCCACCAGCAGAAACCTGGTTAACCAGATGATTAGAATGCTGGTCATGTCATCGATAGTAAAATTTTATTATGACTGTGAAGTGAAAATTTGATGTTACAATTCATGGCTGTGAATATTCTGTGAATTCTAAGTGAAATGAGCAAAACAAAACAGAACAATAGATTAGGCTTGCTGAGCTTGTATAATAAACAAGTATCAATAAATGCCTGCAAAATTTACAGGTTGAGTCTTGGGGAATGGATCCCATTAAGAGTCACAAACTGGCTTAAATGAGAATAACTTCCATCTATCCACATTATACTCATTTGTTCTTGCTGCTATGGTTTAGAGAGAAGCATTCATCTTTGTCATTTTTTTAACAGCCTCTGGACTTCGAGACCAAAAAATCCTATACACTGAAGGTGGAGGCAGCCAATATCCACATCGACCCACGTTTCAGTGGCAGAGGACCCTTTAAGGATACAGCAACAGTCAAAATTGTTGTGGAGGATGCTGATGAGCCCCCAGTCTTCTCTTCACCAACTTACCTCCTTGAAGTTCATGAAAATGCTGCTTTGAACTCTGTGATTGGCCAAGTGACAGCACGTGACCCTGATAGCACTTCTAGTCCAATCAGGTATTTGTCTTTTAAGTGTAGTATTTGCTGCTTCACAGGACAAGAGAAGAGCCTTTGGAGCTGTTCTGCGATGAAGGGCTTTCCATCGCTTTATTCTCTCTCATTGTATGGATGGTGTGTACATTCATACATTTATCTACTCAGAGCTACAGACAATGCCTAGAAACAGAAATTTCAAAGTAAACCAAGTTATTCCTGCTCTTGAGAAAACTAGATGGAGATGCAAAATTGCAAGCATTTTATAGCACTTTGGGATGGATCTTTTTCATTTTATGCTTTATTATTTTTTAGTATTGCATGAGCATTGCCAGTTGTATTTTGTCTCTTCTGACAGATATAGTGAATTATATATTAGAATTCAGAGGTATGAGACCTCCATGTCACTACATTTAGAAGTTCCTATCTTGTTTCTGAATGTGGGTTTGAAATTACCTTCTTCTCAGTTTGTGAACATTTCTGATAAGTCAGCATCTGGACTGGTTTCTTTTACAGAAAAAAATATTTCTGTGTCATTTAAAAATACCTCATGTTCAGAATTTTCTTGCATAGATATTTTTTCAAAGGATAAAAACATAATCATTTCTTCAAATTATTTTTTTGCTTTAAAATGAAGCTCAATTCTGTTCTTTTATATTTATTTGTAGACATCTTTTCTTTCTTAGAAGTCAACAAATGACAGTGTAGATACTTAAGCTGAAATCACTCTAAGCATCTATTATCTTGTGTGCTGGTTGCCAAGGTTGAGGTGTTGGCTAGTAATGTGTTTGAGAGTGGGTTTCAAGTATTGTCGTGTGTGTGTGTGTGTGTGTGTGTGTGTGTGTGTGTGTGTCTGAGAGAGAGAGAGAGAGAGAGAGAGAGAGAGAGAGAGAGAGAGAGAGAAAGAGAGAAAGATTGTGTGAGAGTGGATGAGTATGTGTCAGAGGATGTGTGTGAGTGTGTAGGTGAGAGGGAGGATGTGAAAATACTAAACATTTTCAATTTCTAAGCTATGAATACCTAGGATGGGCATCTTTGCAGTGACTTTTTCAGAAAATCTCAAGAAAAGTATATTTTCTGGTGCTTCTAATTATTTACACCTCACAATTTATAGTACTATTTTATTTTTAGATACCAGTTTAATAGTTGCTTTCCCATATGTTTTTGCCATTATATGCTTATGTAGTAGACTTTCCATGTGTTTCAGCTATTGTGCACCTGAAAAAAATATAGTGTATCTACGGTTTTGAAAAAACAAAAAGAGTTAGGAGATGAGCAAGAAGGGTGGAAACAATGTAAATATAAAATTGCACATAAATTTGTAAAAAGCCAAAATTAATACTTACTTAGAATATTATTTTTCATTAACGTCTATTTACAAACTTAAAATATATGAAGTTCTCATGACTTGAGGGTGATAAAGCTAGGAGATAGAGGTGAAATTCTTCAGGACAGTAAATGCCTCAAACAAGAGAAGATTGGGACAAAAAGGGAATTATTTTCATATTAATCACAGCTCTTAATAAAATACAATTTATTTTTAAATTTGGGACAGTGAAAGGACACTCCCATGAAGATAATATAAAGAAAGTTTTCTGGAGAAGAGAAAATCACTAAGAAGGTAGCCCTCCATGTGAGGATTTGACTAATGGCCTGGTGGCCATTCTCATCTCAGGATGCAAATAATAAACTATAGACATGCCGAATATCCTTCATCTGCTTGAAAATATTATACCTGTGAGAAGGTCAAATGTGAAATGTAAAGGTGGGAAGAATCCAGAAATAAATAAATTTACATAGACATCCAAAAATAGTTGTGCAGTGGCTTGAGAGTGGGATTTAACATGAATGAGCACAGTTGCATTTGTTGCATGAATAGGTAAACTTATTTGTATGCCTCTTTCATGTTCTCTGTGAGAAAGCATCTTTACTTTTCCCACAACCCCAAGCATGAGACAGAATCTGAAGGTACAAAACCAGATGGGTGCAACTGAAGTCCAATTATGTGAATAATCTCAAACCTTGGTTTGATGACATTTCAACTGTTATAAGCAAACAACACATAAGTTCTCAGGAATATATTAAAGCGCGATTCCCTAAAAAATAAGGGATACACACATTATCATCACACACACATACACACACAAATACTTATATATGTATACATCATGTATTATATGTAATACATAACAAGGGATACACACATTATCATCACACACATATGTATATATATTTCAAATTCAGTGTTCATCACACCAATGACAATGCTATTATTATAGAATGGCATGTTCTTAATCAGGGATGAAGTTTGAAGAGCTTTATAACTCAAAATGAAAGAAACAATTGAATCATAGAACTAGGCATAAACCAGAGTTACTACCCCTCATGTTGCTTCCATACATTTTATAATCTCTCCTTTATACTTGAGGAAAACCAGTTTTATTGAAGTAATTTCAATTCCCAGGGAGTCAAGCTGCAATTCTCACTGTAACTGATGATATCCATATCTATTATTGTCACTATTTAGAAAGGTGTGTGTGTGTAGGAAACTGGAGATTCTTCAGCAGCAAACATCTAACTTCAAAACAGGCCATTTCTAAGTCCAGCTAAAGGGGGATACTGGGAAGAGATGGACAGATCAAGTGTGCTTTGGTGACATAGACATATCAGTGCTTCTGATATATGCCAGGCAAGTGCAAGTTCCTACATGTCTCTAGTCCCATACAAAGAAGACACAGGTACTGTTTCAAAGTATGTGTGGGAGACTTTGATATGTCAGGGAGTATGTGGGCTCCACAAAGTCCTGGCAGGTGGATTGTCCCCAGGAAATGACACTTTAAGAAAGAACCACTGCTTTTTTCCCTCTGCAGTATCATCTCTCCATTTCTGCCACCCTCCTCTGCCGGTTGGCTTACAGAAGGTAGCTTCCCTATGTCTATACGCAAATGGCTAATTTGACTAAAAATCTAAATTTTCTAAATAATCAGGTCAGTGCATAGGTCATTATGAAGCTAGCAGATGGGCTTATAACAACTTTTCCTTTAAAAATAGATCTAGAGGTTGTGACATCTCAGGAAGTCTCTGGGCAATGGATAGCTACACATTATTTTCTCTTTAGAACTACTGCATTTCATATGCTGACAAAAGTGTATCCATCTTTCAGAATAATATTTGCTTTGCCATCTTGCAAAAAAATAGTCAGTCATTGTGGCATCTGCTATGTTAAAAGATGCAGTCATTTGCTGGCTCATCAACTTCCTGTGCGATTTCATTTTTGAATACAGATCCTAGATAGAAATATCCTGCATTTTGAAATACTTATACCTACATCTAGATATATGTTCATAACTGTATATCTCAATATTCCAGTCTACAGGAAAATGAACAGTGATATACATTAAAACCCATGATCACACTGTCTTCCTCCCAGGAACATTAATTAAGAGTTTGCTTTTTTCTTCTCTATTACATACGTTGTTGCTCAGTAATGTAGACAAATTTCTGACAATTTATTTAAAGATGATGTTTTTCAACTCAGATAGATTAAGTCAAAAATCATATCACTGTTGTTTTGCAGCATAGCTGTCAGCCTTACAGGTCTCTGAGAATCACTTTCTTCACTGTCTATGACGCTATATTCCTCATAGGGCATGGAGCAAATGAAGTCACTTTATTAGATGTTTCACCTATTAGCATTACTATCTAATTAGGGCTAAGCCATGACACATTTTAACTTTTCAGAGATGAATTTATTTGTTTTACGTGTATGTGTTTTTTGTCTGTGTGTATCTTTGTGCACCATGTATATGGGTAGTGTGCACTGAAGTCTGTCGAGGACAGTGGAACCCTTAGAAAAGGAATTACAAATGCTTGTGAGCAACTATGTGGGAAGCAGGAACTAAACTAAGGTCCTCTGCAAGAGCAATGAGCACTTTAAAACACTGAGCTGACACTCCAGGCCTCTCATTTTAAAAATTAAATGAAAATTAAACATCCAGTAGCTAGTTGAGAAGAGAATTATAGTAAACATGGCTAGATCTATGTAGAATGATATGGTAGTTTGGGGCGTACTCTATCATTTTGTTGTTTAGGTTAAGATATATTTTAAAGAATATAAATAATGTCATTTATTTTAACTTTTTCAAGCTTATGATTGCAATATTGTCACCAATGTGATCAATATGTCTTATGGCCTGTGTTAATATGCTGCTTTCTTGTGATAACACCTTGAGATGGTATGTCTAATCAGTATCTTCATTTAATACAGAAAGGTGATAAGGACAGGACAATGAACTTCCCAAGTATCACACAAACAGATGGATGACTCTCATTGTCAACATGAATGCATTTAGAATCACCATGGGAACTTATCACTAAGTGTGTCTAGGAGGGGGTTTTTCCAGAAAGGTTTAATTGAGGTGAGAAGAAACCTTCCTGCCCATCCTACCTTCCATGAGCAGTGTTTTGCCAGGGTCTGGGATCCTGAACTCAATCAAATGAGGGAAATTAACTGAGCATCAGCTCTTTCCACTCTCTGCTTCTTTACTGGAGGTGGAAGGGGACCAGTGGCCTCAGCTGCTGCCTTTCCTTCCTTGGCATGATGTGCTGCACCTCAGATTGTGAGCCATGGGAAACCCCCTCTTCATTAAGCCACCTTTGTCAAGTATTTTGTCACAGCACTGAGAAAAACAACTCGGACAATCAGCTTTCTAACCCTGTAGCAAAATACCTGTGACTAACTTAATAGAAGGATGGGCTGGAGGCTCACTGTCTCAGAAGTTCAGATTCCTGGTATGTGGCAATGCTGCTTTGAGCCTGTGAAATTCCATGTACCAAAGTTGGGGTCATGTTGCTGAAGAGGCTGCTCACAATATGACAACTATGAAGCAAAAGAGAGAAAGTGCATGAGAGAGAGAGAGAGAGAGAGAGAGAGAGAGAGAGAGAGAGAGAGAGAGAGAGAGATTTGAGGAGACAATGGTCTCAATATCCTCTAGAAAAGCCCACCCATGCAATTTCACTTCCTT